TGCTGTCAAAGCACCCCTGTACCACCACCGTGCAACCTCCTTGCTGTCAAAGCACCCCTGTACCACCACCGTGCAACCTCCTTGCTGTCAAAGCACCCCTGTACCCCCACCGTGCAACCTCCTTGCTGTCAAAGCACCCCTGTACCATCACCGTGCAACCTCCTTGCTGTCAAAGCACCCCTGTACCACCACCGTGCAACTTCCTTGCTGTCAAAGCACCCCTGTACCACCACCGTGCAACCTCCTTGCTGTCAAAGCACCCCTGTACCACCACCGTGCAACCTCCTTGCTGTCAAAGCACCCCTGTACCACCACCGTGCAACCTCCTTGCTGTCAAAGCACCCCTGTACCCCCACCGTGCAACCTCCTTGCTGTCAAAGCACCCCTGTACCACCACCGTGCAACCTCCTTGCTGTCAAAGCACCCCTGTACCACCACCGTGCAACCTCCTTGCTGTCAAAGCACCCCTGTACCACCACCGTGCAACCTCCTTGCTGTCAAAGCACCCCTGTACCACCACCGTGCAACCTCCTTGCTGTCAAAGCACCCCTGTACCCCCACCGTGCAACCTCCTTGCTGTCAAAGCACCCCTGTACCACCACCGTGCAACCTCCTTGCTGTCAAAGCACCCCTGTACCACCACCGTGCAACTTCCTTGCTGTCAAAGCACCCCTGTACCACCACCGTGCAACCTCCTTGCTGTCAAAGCACCCCTGTACCACCACCGTGCAACCTCCTTGCTGTCAAAGCACCCCTGTACCACCACCGTGCAACCTCCTTGCTGTCAAAGCACCCCTGTACCACCACCGTGCAACCTCCTTGCTGTCAAAGCACCCCTGTACCACCACCGTGCAACCTCCTTGCTGTCAAAGCACCCCTGTAACCCCACCGTGCAACCTCCTTGCTGTCAAAGCACCCCTGTACCACCACCGTGCAACCTCCTTGCTGTCAAAGCACCCCTGTACCACCACCGTGCAACCTCCTTGCTGTCAAAGCACCCCTGTACCACCACCGTGCAACCTCCTTGCTGTCAAAGCACCCCTGTACCACCACTGTGCAACCTCCTTGCTGTCAAAGCACCCCTGTACCACCACCGTGCAACCTCCTTGCTGTCAAAGCACCCCTGTACCACCACCGTGCAACCTCCTTGCTGTCAAAGCACCCCTGTACCACCACCGTGCAACCTCCTTGCTGTCAAAGCACCCCTGTACCACCACCGTGCAACTTCCTTGCTGTCAAAGCACCCCTGTACCACCACCGTGCAACCTCCTTGCTGTCAAAGCACCCCTGTACCCCCACCGTGCAACCTCCTTGCTGTCAAAGCACCCCTGTACCACCACCGTGCAACCTCCTTGCTGTCAAAGCACCCCTGTACCACCACCGTGCAACCTCCTTGCTGTCAAAGCACCCCTGTACCACCACCGTGCAACCTCCTTGCTGTCAAAGCACCCCTGTACCACCACTGTGCAACCTCCTTGCTGTCAAAGCACCCCTGTACCACCACCGTGCAACCTCCTTGCTGTCAAAGCACCCCTGTACCACCACCGTGCAACCTCCTTGCTGTCAAAGCACCCCTGTACCACCACCGTGCAACCTCCTTGCTGTCAAAGCACCCCTGTACCCCCACCGTGCAACCTCCTTGCTGTCAAAGCACCCCTGTACCACCACCGTGCAACCTCCTTGCTGTCAAAGCACCCCTGTACCACCACCGTGCAACTTCCTTGCTGTCAAAGCACCCCTGTACCACCACCGTGCAACCTCCTTGCTGTCAAAGCACCCCTGTACCCCCACCGTGCAACCTCCTTGCTGTCAAAGCACCCCTGTACCAACACCGTGCAACCTCCTTGCTGTCAAAGCACCCCTGTACCCCCACCGTGCAACCTCCTTGCTGTCAAAGCACCCCTGTACCACCACCGTGCAACCTCCTTGCTGTCAAAGCACCCCTGTACCACCACCGTGCAACCTCCTTGCTGTCAAAGCACCCCTGTACCCCCACCGTGCAACCTCCTTGCTGTCAAAGCACCCCTGTACCACCACCGTGCAACCTCCTTGCTGTCAAAGCACCCCTGTACCACCACCGTGCAACCTCCTTGCTGTCAAAGCACCCCTGTACCCCCACCGTGCAACCTCCTTGCTGTCAAAGCACCCCTGTACCACCACCATGCAACCTCCTTGCTGTCAAAGCACCCCTGTACCACCACCGTGCAACCTCCTTGCTGTCAAAGCACCCCTGTACCCCCACCGTGCAACCTCCTTGCTGTCAAAGCACCCCTGTACCACCACCGTGCAACCTCCTTGCTGTCAAAGCACCCCTGTACCACCACCGTGCAACCTCCTTGCTGTCAAAGCACCCCTGTACCACCACTGTGCAACCTCCTTGCTGTCAAAGCACCCCTGTACCACCACCGTGCAACCTCCTTGCTGTCAAAGCACCCCTGTACCACCACCGTGCAACCTCCTTGCTGTCAAAGCACCCCTGTACCACCACCGTGCAACCTCCTTGCTGTCAAAGCACCCCTGTACCCCCACCGTGCAACCTCCTTGCTGTCAAAGCACCCCTGTACCACCACCGTGCAACCTCCTTGCTGTCAAAGCACCCCTGTACCACCACCGTGCAACTTCCTTGCTGTCAAAGCACCCCTGTACCACCACCGTGCAACCTCCTTGCTGTCAAAGCACCCCTGTACCACCACCGTGCAACCTCCTTGCTGTCAAAGCACCCCTGTACCACCACCGTGCAACCTCCTTGCTGTCAAAGCACCCCTGTACCACCACCGTGCAACCTCCTTGCTGTCAAAGCACCCCTGTACCCCCACCGTGCAACCTCCTTGCTGTCAAAGCACCCCTGTACCACCACCGTGCAACCTCCTTGCTGTCAAAGCACCCCTGTACCACCACCGTGCAACCTCCTTGCTGTCAAAGCACCCCTGTACCACCACCGTGCAACCTCCTTGCTGTCAAAGCACCCCTGTACCCCCACCGTGCAACCTCCTTGCTGTCAAAGCACCCCTGTACCACCACCGTGCAACCTCCTTGCTGTCAAAGCACCCCTGTACCACCACCGTGCAACTTCCTTGCTGTCAAAGCACCCCTGTACCACCACCGTGCAACCTCCTTGCTGTCAAAGCACCCCTGTACCACCACCGTGCAACCTCCTTGCTGTCAAAACACCCCTGTACCACCACCGTGCAACCTCCTTGCTGTCAAAGCACCCCTGTACCCCCACCGTGCAACCTCCTTGCTGTCAAAGCACCCCTGTACCACCACCGTGCAACCTCCTTGCTGTCAAAGCACCCCTGTACCCCCACCGTGCAACCTCCTTGCTGTCAAAGCACCCCTGTACCACCACCGTGCAACCTCCTTGCTGTCAAAGCACCCCTGTACCACCACCGTGCTACTTCCTTGCTGTCAAAGCACCCCTGTACCACCACCGTGCAACCTCCTTGCTGTCAAAGCACCCCTGTACCACCACCGTGCAACCTCCTTGCTGTCAAAGCACCCCTGTACCACCACCGTGCAACCTCCTTGCTGTCAAAGCACCCCTGTACCACCACCGTGCAACCTCCTTGCTGTCAAAGCACCCCTGTACCACCACCGTGCAACCTCCTTGCTGTCAAAGCACCCCTGTACCCCCACCGTGCAACCTCCTTGCTGTCAAAGCACCCCTGTACCACCACCGTGCAACCTCCTTGCTGTCAAAGCACCCCTGTACCACCACCGTGCAACCTCCTTGCTGTCAAAGCACCCCTGTACCACCACCGTGCAACCTCCTTGCTGTCAAAGCACCCCTGTACCACCACCGTGCAACCTCCTTGCTGTCAAAGCACCCCTGTACCCCCACCGTGCAACCTCCTTGCTGTCAAAGCACCCCTGTACCACCACCGTGCAACCTCCTTGCTGTCAAAGCACCCCTGTACCACCACCGTGCAACCTCCTTGCTGTCAAAGCACCCCTGTACCACCACCGTGCAACCTCCTTGCTGTCAAAGCACCCCTGTACCCCCACCGTGCAACCTCCTTGCTGTCAAAGCACCCCTGTACCACCACCGTGCAACCTCCTTGCTGTCAAAGCACCCCTGTACCCCCACCGTGCAACCTCCTTGCTGTCAAAGCACCCCTGTACCACCACCGTGCAACCTCCTTGCTGTCAAAGCACCCCTGTACCACCACCGTGCTACTTCCTTGCTGTCAAAGCACCCCTGTACCACCACCGTGCAACCTCCTTGCTGTCAAAGCACCCCTGTACCACCACCGTGCAACCTCCTTGCTGTCAAAGCACCCCTGTACCACCACCGTGCAACCTCCTTGCTGTCAAAGCACCCCTGTACCACCACCGTGCAACCTCCTTGCTGTCAAAGCACCCCTGTACCACCACCGTGCAACCTCCTTGCTGTCAAAGCACCCCTGTACCCCCACCGTGCAACCTCCTTGCTGTCAAAGCACCCCTGTACCACCACCGTGCAACCTCCTTGCTGTCAAAGCACCCCTGTACCACCACCGTGCAACCTCCTTGCTGTCAAAGCACCCCTGTACCACCACCGTGCAACCTCCTTGCTGTCAAAGCACCCCTGTACCACCACCGTGCAACCTCCTTGCTGTCAAAGCACCCCTGTACCCCCACCGTGCAACCTCCTTGCTGTCAAAGCACCCCTGTACCACCACCGTGCAACCTCCTTGCTGTCAAAGCACCCCTGTACCACCACCGTGCAACCTCCTTGCTGTCAAAGCACCCCTGTACCACCACCGTGCAACCTCCTTGCTGTCAAAGCACCCCTGTACCCCCACCGTGCAACCTCCTTGCTGTCAAAGCACCCCTGTACCACCACCGTGCAGACCTCCGCAGCCCACCTGTTTACGAATTACAGTACCCCCACCACTACCGTGCACAACCCTGCACTGCAACTGCAACCACCTGCACCACGCTTTCCCTCACCCAGGACTGTTCAGCCAGCACCTTTCACCCACCACCTCCCAACAATCTCTCTCCACATAGACTGCCACTCACTCCGCGTCTGGCTTCTTATACTCAACGCCCCTCGCCTTGTGGTCCGCCTCCTTGCTGTCAAAAAACCCCTCCGGTAACACGCCCTGCCCCGCCCCTCCCGCGTCCTTGCCTGCCGTCCCCTTGCCTGCTCCGCCTCCCGCCTTCCCTGGCTTTGCAGCAGCAGCAGGAGCAGCAGAGGGTGGTGCAGCTGTTGCTGCTGTTGATGGTCCATCGAAGAAATCAGACGGAAGGGCAGAGGGTGCAGCAGGAGCAGAGGCGGCAGAGGGTGCTGCAGGAGCAGAGGCGGCAGAGGGTGCTGCAGCAGCCGGAGCAGATGGAGCGGCAGGAGTGGCAGCAGCAGGTGTGGGGGCATCGAAGAAATCTGCTGGTAGGCCGGTAGAGTTGGGAGGAGCAGCGGAGGCTGCTGAGGCAGGCGCAGTGGCATGAGCGGCAGGGGCGGCGGACGTGGCAGGGGCAGCAGGGGTGAATGCGGGAGGCCGAGAGGATTGCCTCACAGCTGCCTCTGCTGCTGCTGCTGGCGACGAGGCTGGTGGGTTAGCAGGCATGGCGGGGGTGGCAGAGGTCGAGTCTGCTGAGAGGGAGGTGAACGGGGGGGGAAGGTATCAAGGATGGGAACGGATGAGGGAAGCAAGTTAGAGAGAAATGAGGGAGCACGAGAGGGGGAGGGGAGCAAGAGAGGGGGGGCGGGGGGGGGGACAAGATCAAGAAGCAAGTATCGCGCGGCCAACCCACCCACCATGCCCACCCACCCACCATGGTGGCGTGAACGCTTAGCCGCCGACGCTGAATCGAAGAAGTCACTCGGGAGGGCCCCAGCTGCAGCAGCAGCAGCAGCGGGCCTCCGGCCGCCTGCAGCAGGTGCTCCTGCGGTGGCAGCGGCAGTGGCGGGCGGTGGTGCTGCGGCCTTGGCTCTCTGCTTGAGCCGCTCGGTGCTCTGGAGAGGAGACAAGCGGTGGAGGGAGGGTGGACGGGGAGGCGTGATGGAGGGAATCCAAGGGAGGGGGCACGGGGAGGGGGCACGGGGAGAGGGCAAAAAGAGGCGGCAAGGGGGGGAGGGTGCACAAGAGATCAAAAGTGGAACGGTGAAGAAGCGTGAAAGATGGAGAGTGGGGGGGTGGAGAGTGGACGCACAACACTCGGTGTGCAGGGGAGGAGGACAATAGGAGAGGGCTGCAGTCGCGGCTGGCTCTGCCGTTGTAAGCTGAAGCCGGGCAGACGGAAAAGGATTCTGAGCTTCAGATTGGGCAGGGTGAAGTGCACTCTCAGATTAGCCCTGAAGATTCACAGCGCGGTGACTCGTGCTTCGCCTCCCAAGTCACCGTGTGGTTGGCTTGGCGAACATGAGAAACACATGGGACACGTGAAAGAGGGGCGCGTGACACACGCACCTCCTTGTGCTGCTTGCTGACAAGATGCGCCGCCCAGAGGCTTTCGGATTTGATCACGGTGGTGCAGACCCGGCACACGGCCTGCCCCAGTTCGTTGTACCTGGTGGCGGGCAGGAGAATAAAATGTAAAAAAAAGCTCGCCGCTCATTACCCATCGCAATATGCGATGGCATGGCGTGATATGGTGATGTTGGTGGGGCACTGGGATCGTTTTGTCGTAGTGATCAGGTGTGGTCTGGTGTATTGTCCTAGTGTTGAGTTGAGAGCCACCCCCTGTGTCTCAAAAGAGACCCACCCCGTGGGACTCCTTTCTCTTTGCCCCACTCGTACGCCTCACCTCACCACCACCCGTCAGCACACCTGCCTTGACTCGACTGTAAACAAACCGCAACCCCTCAGCACCCCTCAGAACCGTCCAGCTCAGAGTCTCGTCTCTGCATATTTGTGCGCATTTTCGCGCACCATTGCCCCTCACCGCTCCCCACCACTCCTCATCAACCACCACCCCACACCATCCCTCACCACTCCTCTGTGCCCAGTGCCGCACCTCACGAGCGGGGACTCGATGCGCTTCTCCGTCTTCTGCGCCATCTCGCGCATCATCGCGCGCAGCGCGCCCTTGTCGCGCCCCACGCGCCCCGCCATCTGAGCCGCACGGGGGAAAACCGCGATGTCGAGGCGCCTCTTGCAGCGGCGGTAGGCGCAACTCACGGGAATGCGCCGGTTACAAGGCGCGCGAAACCGAGGGCCGGAGGGGTACTGGTAGGTCGAGCGCGTGACGCGAGGAGAACGCGGGATTCGGCCGAAACGAGTATCGCAATAATGCTAGGCCTTCTATGTCGCCGAGTCGCCTGCCTAGCTTCAGGCTTGATCGCCAAACTTGAATCTTCTGATCCGTTGGGGAATGCAAAAGAACGAGACTGGTAGTTTGAGATGCCTTCTGAGTACAGTCTGCTTTGTACGCGTTATAACCCCTCGGCTTCGACCATCCTACGGATAACAGGTGAATTACCATAATTTTCTTGCAATTTCTAGCAGACATCACTCCATGCAAAAGCATGAAGAGCAGTGATTGCAGGAACGTTTTCGACTTTCGATTTAAAAACCCTATGTCCAATGGCAGATGCAACATTATCTGGGGACCCAATAGCTTTGCGCAAGCATGGCACATGCTCTACTCTCAAACACATATATGGCCATGTGCCCACACGCTATGCTTGCTGCTGCTGCTGGCCATGGGATGAAGGAAACAGCTGTGAACACACAAACACGAAAACGAACAAACCAAAACAAACAAAAGCCAACCAAAAAGATGAACACACACCCACACACACACACACGAAGGAAGACATGAGTTTTTTCTTGTCAGGTAAGTACTGTTAGCAAAAAATCTACACTCTTGTGCCTCACTACCTTGTAAGGAGGCGATGTGTGAGACGAAGAGCAGCACTTGCACGGAGAGGAAGAGCATGGCCCACTCGTACTTCCATATCTGCCATGGGCGTGTGTGTGGCATGGGTGTGTGTGTGGCATGGGTGTGTGTGGCATGGGTATGTGTGTGGCATGGGTGTGTGTGTGGCATGGGTGTGTGTGTGGCATGGGTGTGTGTGTGGCATGGGTGTGTGTGTGGCATGGGTGTGTGTGTGGCATGGGTGTGTGTGTGGCATGGGTGTGTGTGTGGCATGGGTGTGTGTGTGGCATGGGTGTGTGTGTGGCATGGGTGTGTGTGTGGCATGGGTGTGTGGCATGGGTGTGTGGCATGGGTGTGTGTGTGGCATGGGTATGTGTGTGGCATGGGTGTGTGTGTGGCATGGGTGTGTGTGTGTGTGGCATGGGTATGTGTGTGGCATGGGTGTGTGGCATGGGCATGGAAACAGAGATGTGAAACCCAAGATGATGGCACGGGGAGAATGACAATTCATGAGTTTAAGTATGCTTGCACAACAGCATCGCACGGCAGGACAATGGCAATGCATGGCCTGCAGCCATCACACAACAAGGAGCGAGGGGAGGAGAGGGTTTGAGAGCGAGGGGATTGGACGTAGGGTGTGTGAGGGTGTGAGAGTGGGAGGGCGAGAGGGAGAGAGCGCACCAGAAGCGGGAGGGCAAGGCACTCCGGAGGGCTGGAGAGGAGAAGGCTGTAGAAGACCACAGGGAAGGGCACACTGGGGGGGGAGGGGGGATGGATCAAGGGAATTACAGAGAGGGGGCACAGGAGGAGGGTTAGAGCAGAGGCGGAGGAGGATGAAGGTAGGGGAAGCATACAGGCAAAGAAGAGGGAGGAAGCAGATGAAACAAGGGAAGGTGGAAGGAATATGGGACGAGGGAATGCAGCAGAGGTAGGGATGAGAGAGTGGGGCCACAGGTGGGAGAGCATGCTCACATGAATCCTCTCCTCTGTACCTTTGAGGCTTCTTCTCACTGCTGCCCGCGTGAGGTGGCCCAATTGCAGGGAGCCAGCTCAGCAGGTGGCGGGCAGCGGGCAGGGAGAAGAAGACGAGGGCGAGGAAGAGGAGCTTTGAGAGCAGCGACACTGCCACACCCTGTCATCAACAAATGCCATGCCGTGCCGTGCCGTGCCATCCCATGCCATGCCATCCCAATGCCATGGTGTGCCGCGCAAACGTGCCAAACACACGACAGAGATGCAATGGCTTGCGTGTGAGAAGAGAAAAACATACATGTAAAGGTTGGAGCAAACACTGTCCGCCAGATACGCACATATCAGCATTCTGTGACAAAGACAGACTGCACAAATGGCTTGAGGCAGCACCTTAGGCGTGCAGCACTGAAAGACGCAGCACCTGAAGCAGAACCTGAGGCAGCACCTGAGGCAGCACCTGAGGCAGCACCTGAGGCAGCATCTGAGGGGAGAAGCACCTGGGCGATGATGGGGAGGGAGAGGAGATCGGCGGGGTCAACTGTGATGCCGTGTGCCGCCCGGAACACCAACAGCGCTGCCAGGTGGGCGAGTGACGTGGGGGGGAAAGAGGCAGGAAGGGGGGGATGGGGGAGTGGAGGTGGATAGCGGAGTGGGGGGACAGGGAGGGAAGCCGAGGGTGGAGGGCGGAGAGGGGAAGGGCTGAGCGATGGTGATGACGGGAAAGGGAAGTGACGGGAAAATTGTTATGCCTTCTAGTTATAATTCATTATATTACGGAACAAAGTGAATATTAAGCTAGTTGGCTATGTAAAAGCATTTCTTGTCATTATACCATTTGGTGTTACAGCCATATTTTAATTTATTTAGCAATTATTATTTTGATTCAATAATTATTTTAATTAGACATGAGCAACTCAAGTGACGGGGAAAGGGCAAGCAGAAGGAGAGGCAGACGAGGAAGAGGCAGAGGTGTGTGAAGGGCAGGCAAGAAGCACAAGTCACACCGCTCAGTGCGGGAGATGTGCCTCTATGCCAAGTGTATCACGTTGACACATCATGCTATGACAGGTGCTATGATCTCACAGCATGGCATGGCATGGCATGGCATGGCACAGCATGGCATGGCATGGCATGGCATGGCATGGCATGGCATGGCATGCAACATGACTCACTGGCATGGCAGAGCAGAATGAGGGCCGTGGCGAGGCACAGTGGGCGCTGGCCGTGGCAAGGCAGGAGTATTCGGGACGGGTTGGGGAGGGCGGGAGGAAGAAACGGGCGGAAGAGAGGGGCGAGAAAGAGAGCAAAGGCACAAGAGGGAGAAACAGGAGATGGTTGGCGTGGTGGCATACGAGAGCTTGACTTGTGAAGGACAGGGGGTGGCTGGTGGGAGGGGCAGGTCAATGAGGAGCAACTAGCTTCCATGCTCGTTTCCGCCTCACACAGCAGTGCGAGTCTCACTTCCAACAAGGTCATGTTGGTACGATTCAACAGCGCGAGTGCTGGAGTGGAGCGCTCTCAACAAGCAAGGGTGCTTCAGGACCCCCCTGGTTGCAGTGCATGCACTCACAGCGTGGGGGGTGGGCGAGGCGAGCACAAGGTTGTGCACCACGTGGCGATGCGCCTGGGGCTTTAAGAGCAGCACGTCCAGTAGCACCAGCTGGAAAGGTAGGGGGGAGGGCAGGGGGGAATGGGTGGGGACACAGGAGGGGCGTCTGGGGCTTTAAGAGCAGCACGTCCAGTAGCACCAGCTGGACGTGGATGGGGGCCATGGGGGGAGAAGCAGGAGGGGCGCATGGGTGGGCGTGCAGGTGTGCCGCGCTCTGAAAAGAGACAAAACAGACTAATCAAGACAGCGGTCGGAGCTGAAATCGGGCTAGCTATGGCAGCCTGCTGGGCAGTAATAACCGTTGCTGATAGAGGGCGCTCAGGCCTTATGCCTGTATCCCTAGCCACTGTAGCCATAATAGGCAAAATAGAATGGATAATATGGCCTGTACCTGCTAAAAGTTAAGAAATAAATAAGAGAAGGAGCAGTAAAAGCAATCCGATGCTGTAATTCTGTTTAAATAACTTTTCCGTTAAATCGGTTAAATAGAGGGAATGTAACGAGGCAGTGGCGTGTGGCGCACATAACAGTAAAGGGAGGGGGGGCGCACAGGTGGAGGGCGGGCGCACCAGGGGGAAAGGGGGGCGCACCAGGGAGAGGGGGGGCGCACCAGGGGGAAGGGGGGGCGCACCAGGGGGAAGGGGGGGCGCACCAGGGGGAAGGGGGGTTGCACCAGGGGGAAGGGGGGTTGCACCAGGGGGAAGGGGGGGCGCACCAGGGGGAAGGGGGGGCGCACCAGGGGGAAGGGGGGGTGCACCAGGGGGAAGGGGGGGCGCACCAGGGGGTCGCATTCGACGTAGGGGTCGGCTGCAGCTCCACACTCGCCCTGCTCATGGTGGCATGGGGGATGGAGCATGGCGCACAGGGCGTGGGGCATGGCATGGGGCATGGCGTGGGGCATGGGGTATGGGGTATGGGGTATGGGCATGGGTTATGGGCATGGGTTATGGGCATGGGACCATGGGTTATGGGCATGGGGTACGGGCATGGGGCATAGGGCGGGGGACAGGTCGCAGGAGAGAGTATTGGAATAAGAGTGGCACTTCAGTCAGGGAAGTGATGTGAAGGACATGGGGGCATGGGGGCACGAGGTCATGGGGGCATGGGGGCGTGGGGGCATGGATGGATGGAGGGCAGAACTCACGCATTTGAGCACCTCAATGCTCCCAGGCGAGTGCACGCGGTACAGCTGCTCCCGCCGCGCCCCACACGTCACACACACCACGCGCCCCCTCCCCCCCTCGCCCCCCTTGCCCTCGCTGCCGCCCATGCCCGCCCTGTCCGCCCCTCCCCTCCCCCACGCCGTGTGCTGGTCTGCTCCGCTAGCCTGGCGGCCAGTACCTTGCCGCTGTGCCACTGCTCGATTGGCAATGGCTGCGGTCAGATGGGGTGGGGTGGGGTGGGGTGGGGTGGGGTGGGGTGAGCTCGGCTTGGTTGGGATCGTGGTATGGGGGACGCAGACAGGCAGGGATGCGAGGAAGAGGGGGCAATCGCACTGACCGTCCGAGGCTTACCGGAAAGGCGCGGAGGATAGAGGGGAGAGAGAGGGGAGAGCGGGTAGGGAGGGGAGAGGGAAAGAGGTCAGGGCCATGGCACGACACCAGCCGTGCATGAGGACGTGGGGAGGGGGGAGGGGGAATGCACGAATGCACGGATGCACGGATGCACGGATGCACGGATGCACGGATGCACGGATGCACGGATGCACGGATGCACGGATGCACGGATGCACGGATGCACGGATGCACGGATGCACGGATGCACGGATGCACGGATGCACGGATGCACGGATGCACGGATGCACGGATGCACGGATGCACGGATGCACGGATGCACGGATGCACGGATGCACGGATGCACGGATGCACGGATGCACGGATGCACGGATGCACGGATGCACGGATGCACGGATGCACGGATGCACGGATGCACGGATGCACGGATGCACGGATGCACGGATGCACGGATGCACGGATGCACGGATGCACGGATGCACGGATGCACGGATGCACGGATGCACGGATGCACGGATGCACGGATGCACGGATGCACGGATGCACGGATGCACGGATGCACGGATGCACGGATGCACGGATGCACGGATGCACGGATGCACGGATGCACGGATGCACGGATGCACGGATGCACGGATGCACGGATGCACGGATGCACGGATGCACGGATGCACGGATGCACGGATGCACGGATGCACGGATGCACGGATGCACGGATGCACGGATGCACGGATGCACGGATGCACGGATGCACGGATGCACGGATGCACGGATGCACGGATGCACGGATGCACGGATGCACGGATGCACGGATGCACGGATGCACGGATGCACGGATGCACGGATGCACGGATGCACGGATGCACGGATGCACGGATGCACGGATGCACGGATGCACGGATGCACGGATGCACGGATGCACGGATGCACGGATGCACGGATGCACGGATGCACGGATGCACGGATGCACGGATGCACGGATGCACGGATGCACGGATGCACGGATGCACGGATGCACGGATGCACGGATGCACGGATGCACGGATGCACGGATGCACGGATGCACGGATGCACGGATGCACGGATGCACGGATGCACGGATGCACGGATGCACGGATGCACGGATGCACGGATGCACGGATGCACGGATGCACGGATGCACGGATGCACGGATGCACGGATGCACGGATGCACGGAATTGCACGGATGCACGGATGCACGGATGCACGGATGCACGGATGCACGGATGCAACGTATGCACGGATGCACGGATGCACGGATGCACGGAATGCACGGATGCACGGATGCACGGATGCACGGATGCACGGATGCACGGATGCACGGATGCACGGATGCACGGATGCACGGATGGCACGGATGCACGGATGCACGGGATGCACGGATGCACGGATGCACGGATGCACGGATGCACGGATGCACGGATGCACGGATGCACGATGCACGGATGCACGGATGCCACGGATGCACGGATGCACGGATGCACGGATGCACGAGAGATGCACGGATGCACGGATGCACGGATGCACGGATGCACGGATGCACGGATGCACGGATGCACGGATGCACGGATGCACGGATGCCACGGATGCACGGATGCACGGATGCACGGATGCACGGATGCAACGGATGCACGGTATGCACGGATGCACGGATGCACGGATGCACGGATGCACGGATGCACGGATGCACGGATGCACGGATGCACGGATGCACGGATGCACGGATGCACGGATGCACGGATGCACGGATGCACGGATGCACGGATGCACGGATGCACGGATGCACGGATGCACGGATGCACGGATGCACGGATGCACGGATGCACGGATGCACGGATGCACGGATGCACGGATGCACGGATGCACGGATGCACGGATGCACGGATGCACGGATGCACGGATGCACGGATGCACGGATGCACGGATGCACGGATGCACGGATGCACGGATGCACGGATGCACGGATGCACGGATGCACGGATGCACGGATGCACGGATGCACGGATGCACGGATGCACGGATGCACGGATGCACGGATGCACGGATGCACGGATGCACGGATGCACGGATGCACGGATGCACGGATGCACGGATGCACGGATGCACGGATGCACGGATGCACGGATGCACGGATGCACGGATGCACGGATGCACGGATGCACGGATGCACGGATGCACGGATGCACGGATGCACGGATGCACGGATGCACGGATGCACGGATGCACGGATGCACGGATGCACGGATGCACGGATGCACGGATGCACGGATGCACGGATGCACGGATGCACGGATGCACGGATGCACGGATGCACGGATGCACGGATGCACGGATGCACGGATGCACGGATGCACGGATGCACGGATGCACGGATGCACGGATGCACGGATGCACGGATGCACGGATGCACGGATGCACGGATGCACGGATGCACGGATGCACGGATGCACGGATGCACGGATGCACGGATGCACGGATGCACGGATGCACGGATGCACGGATGCACGGATGCACGGATGCACGGATGCACGGATGCACGGATGCACGGATGCACGGATGCACGGATGCACGGATGCACGGATGCACGGATGCACGGATGCACGGATGCACGGATGCACGGATGCACGGATGCACGGATGCACGGATGCACGGATGCACGGATGCACGGATGCACGGATGCACGGATGCACGGATGCACGGATGCACGGATGCACGGATGCACGGATGCACGGATGCACGGATGCACGGATGCACGGATGCACGGATGCACGGATGCACGGATGCACGGATGCACGGATGCGGAGTTTCCTCCTTCACCCGTGCAATCGGCCTCCCACACCTTGGCCTGTTCTCCTCTCACACTCGGCGCTTGCACCGCACTCCTCTTCTCCTCGTCTCCTCGTCCTTGCTCCTGCTTCGTTTCTCTCCTTTTCTCACTCAACAATAGACCCTAAGGCCTACTTTGACCCCATTCCACGGGAACAGGGGGGAGAAGAAGGACGAAAGGGACTAGCGGCCGGGGGGGCGGAGGAAAGGGTGACGGCGGGTGGGGAAAGTGGCGGGAGCGGAGGGCGGGAGAGCGCGGACGACGCGGAGGACGGGGAGGACGCGGATTGTGCGGAAGGCGCGGGGTCGGGAGGGGCGCGGCGAGGTCCGTGCGTACCTGGCGTAGCGAGAGATGCGGAACGCGGCGAATGCGGCTTGAGGTGTGGCGTGCGCGCGCCTTCGTTTCTTTCCGCTCGCTCCCCTGCTGCCAGGCTCTTCCCCAGTGTGCTTGGCTCTGACTGTCACAAGTAAGGAAACAAGAGCGCAATAATAACTCTGTGCTATGCTGAAGCACTTTCAGACGAGTACAGTTTCTGAAGGGGCTTGTGTTGCGCAAAGAAATGGTCATCAAAACTCGCGACTATAAGGAATTTTCCCGAATTCCTTATCGGGGTTGACTGCTACGCGTACAGCCCGATTTTCGGACTTTGCACGTTCGGCCGATTTCAACGCTACCGAGGCTCCTCGCGTCGCCTTCGGCATTTCCCATCGCCAAACCTGCACCCCAACCTCACTCGTCCGAGGTTTCCTCCTAGCTAGGCTAGCCCCTACATTAGTCTGTGCCTTCATTGTATTCTCAGATCAGTTAATCACAGTATCGTTATTCGTTTACCTGCGCACTCTCTTTTACAACTCATAACACCTGGTATCAGAGCTACTTTCCTAGTTCACCCCGCTTTTCCGAGGGTAGTTTGGTGGCATAGGGTGTGGCTGGTTTAGTGACTACACGACGGTTGGCCGCAGGGATTGTTAACTCAATCCTGCCCGACTCCGATAGTTCGTGTTTTCACGTGCCTGAAGGCCACGGATACCCGACTGCCCACCAGACGTAGCGCTAGGCACATGGATCAGGAGGCGGTTAACAGGATGATGGCGCAAGTGGCAGAAATGCAGGAGAGCATGAAGTCGTTAATGGCGGAAGTGACAACACTACGTGAAGAAAACGCCGAGCTGCTCCAGACGCGAGGTGAAGCGCGTCAGGTGTCGCCCGAGGACGAAGGCGAGGGCAACAGTCAAGCGGTGAGCAATCCCCTGGACGCGCTCACACGTGACTTCGAAGAGGAGGATAGGCAGCGAGCGGCATCAACGCCAGTTGCAGTAACGACGATCAAGATCAAGCCCGTCAACCCGCCCCCGTTTAATCCTACGGACAAGACGGTTACAGTAAAAGGGTGGCTGTTCGGGGTCGAGGTCTTCTTCACTGCAGCAGGAGTTAATGATGACGCCACGCGTATTAATTACGCGGT